CAGAAACACCTTCAGTTGTTTTTATTTTATTTTATTCTTTACACTATTAAAGATGTCCCCATCCCCCCACGCCCCACTTTGCCCACCTCCACCCAGCCCTTGCCCCCTGCCCCTTCCCTCTGGCCAACACCACACTTTTGTCCATGTCTATGGGTCATGCATATATGTTCTTTGGTTAATCCCTTCATCTAGTACCCCCTCGCCTCTGACAGCTGTGGGTCTATTCCATATATCCTATTCATGCCTCTGTTCCTATTTTGTTCATCAGTTTATTTTGTTCATTAGTCTCCACATATAAGTGAGATCATATGGTATTTGTCTTTCTCTGACTGGCTTATTTCTAAACACCTTCAGTTTTAAGAAGAGCTATGTGCTCCTCCTGGTTCCAGAGACCCCACTTACAGCCTGCAAAAATGGCCTTGGACCTCAGCCTTCCACACACTTTGTTGTTTTACAAGCCTTGTTCCCAGCAGGCTTCCACAAGCTCCAAGAGGAAAGAGGAAAGAGGAAGGTCACAAATTCCTATGTTAAGTAACCAAACATAGTGGGAGTTCTACAAAACAACAACTAATTAATTAAAGTACATGACACTAGGTAATGCTTTTATTTATGTGTCACTTTTCAATTAATAGGCCTTATCATTTATGTAATCCTAGTCAGAGAATAGTAATTTATTTCAAATTTAGTTTATGGCCCTTGAGGATGTGACTCGGTTGGAACATTGTCCCATATACCCAAAGGTTTCGGGTTCTGTTCCCCGTCGGGGCACATGTCAATGTTTCTCACATCAATGTTTCTCTCTCTCTAAAACCAATTAATAATAATAATAATAACAATAAAATGCAGTTTATGTTTGTGTGTTTGCTTTATAGGACTGATAATAGTTTGTTAGTATGTATATCTTTCAGTGCATGTATGCCTGTGTATACTACGAACACATAATCAACATTCTTATGAAACATTGTGTTTTTGCTTACACTGTAGATATCTTGTCAAAAGTAGATTTATTTTAGATATGTATCACAGTATATTGAGCCAATCCCATATTATTGGACATTTACGTTTATTCCATTTTTTTAAACTGGTATAAACATTTTTAAAACCCTTCAATGACACCCCTGACAATTGTTTATCAGTCTGTCCTTGAACCCTGTGATGAAGAGTGTACTTCCCAAGTGAGTGGATTTGTCTGTGGATCCACTCTGATTGTTCACAGTTTTTCCAGTGGCCAAATTGTTCACCTTTTTTTGTTGGACAGAAAAGATAGCAAACTTTAAGAATATGGGTAAACTCCAGAGCCAGGCGAGCATGTCACTAAAAAGCAGCAAGTCCAGACACGGCTCTCAGCCAGACTGTGGTGTAAGCACAGTCCTCATGGAGGTCTTGGAGGAAGACGGCCTCCGAACGATGTTGTGATTGATTACTTTCCAATCCCCAATGACCTGTCTCTGATAGCCTGTGGAACATGATAAAATTCTTTGTTTTCTTCAATGTTATAGTTTCCAAATCATTTATCTCTTGTAAAATGTGTAACTAGTAGGTAAGCCTCGCCACATTTGTCTAGATTTGAAACACTTTTTGTTTTTCTAAAGGTAAATTGTTTTTAGGGGTCCTGAAATCATAACTTATTTCTGGAGTAAGTTATGTTGTGTTTGTCTTTAATATCATCAAAATATCAAGTTATATCTGTTGAGCTTTCTTTAGCATGACATGATATTTCTCAGTTGCTATTCATATTCTTTACTACAGTAAACTCTGCTTCCTGGTATTTTAGAGGTTGGCATTATCAAATTTAAACTGTGCAACTTTTCTAATGACTAATGATTAATATTCTCATTAATTAAAATTCAGACACCCATAAATTTTTCCTGACAAATTTCTAAAGGTTGTCATCACATAGTCACATGCACGTAGGTAGTATTTTATGTGTTTCATAATACCATTGTATAGTTCATACTGTTCCTTGCAATGCTTATGTAACAGTTACATAGCTAACTAATAGATAACTGCTGTCATCTTTAATCTTTGTTTCAAATATTTCATATAAATATTCACTACTTTGGCTAAGTTCAATAAGTCATTCAAAGGATTCCAGATCATGGTTTTGGAGTTTACTATCTGAGGAGATAATGACCAAAATAACCCAATTTTAGTCAAATGTTGTATTATTCAAAAGTGCTTTTTTATAATAATGCAGTTTTTATTGCTTAAATGTGATAATTTATTAAATGTGATAATTTCTAATGTATAAGTAAGCCATTCCTGCTAGTGCTTTGGAGATGAATTATAGTTTTGCAGGCATAAGGATAATGAGGGAAAGGGTCCTGTTAGCCCAAAAGACAACAAAAACACTCTCTCATACTCCCCTTTACACATGCCCTCCCCCTCCTACCTAATCTGACTGGGTAGTTTTCTCTCAGCAGTAGAAATACTATACTTTTTTTTTTTAAGTAGCACATAAACATGAGACATTAGTTAGGTTGTGGGCCACCCTTTGTAGCTGACAGCTGGGCACCACTCAGCATTCCATAGATCAGGAGCCACCGCTCTGCCACAGTTCTTAGCTCCCCAGAATTATACCACAAACTGAGGAAGGGACCAGGATGAGCCCAGAGAAATATCCCAGGAGCTAGCATGCCATGTAGCCCAAGGTAAGCCTGAACTGGCCTTGAAAACCTGCAGAACCAGCAGAGCAAGAGACTAAATGGAGTCCTTTTTACGTCTTTTGCTCCCCTCTGAAGGACACCATGATTTACCTTAGTGAGTCCCAGGAGAACACAGGAAACGCCTGATTTATGTATGACCTCATTGGGCCCTGGAGGAGAGTTGAAAGTAGAGACCTCTCCCCCCCCACCCCCCCGGCCCCCCATTGGAACATTATTATAAACTAGAGGCACAGTGTATGAAATTAGTGCATGGGTAGGGTCCCTAGGCCTGGCTCACGATCAGGGCCAATCAGATTCCCACCCCTCTGCCTCCTCCTTCCTTTGCTCCCTCAGCGCCCCACCACCAACACTGGTTGCCTGCCATGTTCTGCACCTCCCCCTGGTGGCCAGCGCATGTCATAGTGAGCAATCAAACTCCCATTCTCCTGGTTGAACTCCCAAGGGGACACTTGCATATTAGCCTTTTATATATATATAGATTAGGGTACTATTCCTGGAAACTAATTCTATACCATAAATATTCCAAAATGTATTATTAAGATATATGTTGAATAGATATTATTTTCATTTATAATTTTACAAACGTAATATTAAAGTATATAAAAACAAAATTTATACCCAGAGTGAATGAAGACATGTATGAGTGGTTAAGAATCTAGATTCTAGAGCCAGACAGTATAGGTTCAAGTTCCATCTTTGCTGCTTTTTAGCTCAGTGATCTTACACAGATGCTTCTTTAACCTCTCTGTGCTTCAGCTGTCATAAAAGGGTGGTAATTGTTCTCACCTTCTAGAGCTGATCTGAAGACTAAACGAGTTCATGTGTAGAAAGTACTTAAAACTGGTAGTGCCTTGACAGTGTCACTAATTGTTAGCTCTTATTGTAGGTGTTATAAGTGGTCAATTTAAGGAAACTTTCTAAATGGTCTTAAAATACCAGTTCAATCAAGTTGGCATTCAAGGCTCCTCCTTTTCCTGGTGAGCCTGCGTGAGTAGGCGTTCTCCAGGCTCCCTTTCCAAGGCTGCTCAGGTCCATCTCCAGTCCTGCCGTTTCCACATTTTCCACTCAGCTTGCACTTTTTCTTTCATGGTTCTGCTCAACAACTACCTCTTTTGCAAAATTTTACCACGATCTGAACTTCTTTGGAATATATTAAAAGTTGCAGTCTTCTCTTTGTCTTTAATATAATCTCTGAATTATAAGCCCTTGTAGATTAAGAGCTATGTAAAATATAGCACTCTGTCCACCTGGGGCCTAACACAGTGTAGCAGGCAGATACTTAAAATATATGTTGCTTAATTGGATTGCACAACAAACTGAATTTTGTGTGTGCACATGTGTGTACATGTGCATGCATGTTCAACCTGTGTAGCAAGATAGAAATTTTGAAAGTAATCTGTTTTTTAAAATTAGAGCACTTGTAAGAAATTGAAAAATTACTGAAAATAAGTGAAAATACCTGCAGGTTAGATTGTTTGGAACTGCGTAGTAACCAAAAAATATCACAATTTATGTCTAGCAATTCAGGCCTGCACCGCCTGCTGGATAATTATAGCATTTCTCCCCCTGAAACTGCTACTACCGCCTAGGAAAGGCAGAGAAGATCCCTGTGGCTATAAGTGTCCACATCACAGAGTTAGGGCTTCGGAAATAAGGCACTAGTTAAGGAAGGGAGAAGGGAGAAAAGGGGAAGAGGCATGCATCTGGATCTGTATATTTTCCTGATCTATAATAATAAAGGGTAATGTGCTAATTAGACTGGACATCCTTCCGGGTATCCTTCCTTCCGAACAAAGCCGCAGCGGGCAGGTGCTGAGGCAGAGACGGCAGAGGCGTTGGCCGTGGCGGTGGGGGCTGGAGCCAAGGCCCTTGCGCGAATTTCGTGCATCAGGCCTCTAGTATTTAATAATAGTAATAAAACATCTTAGCCTAAAAGGTGACACAATAAAACACTTTAACCTTTGGCTAGTGTTGAAGGGTTTTGTGTGAAAACTCTTATACTTGACATCCAAAAACATAATTATCTTTAGGATTAAAAATGGCATTCCTAAATCTTTGGTATTTTAACTGAAGTTTGCATAAAACCAGTTTTATGCCCTAATTTTTACCAGCTTTGTCTTACCTGGAATTTTGAATTACGCATCATCTCCTGACTCTGTGTACCTTGTGAATCAGGAGTTTAATTGCCTCATTTTTATTCTCTTTTCATTCCTTGTTAGTGAATACACTTGAGTATGGAATGTGACAGTTATTTTAGACATAAAAGATGAGTTCTTATCAAGAGAGTTCATTAAAGCAAGGGCTTTTTTCTTTCTCTCTTTTTTTAAATACCAGATACCCTAGATGAATATTTTGAATACGATGCAGAGGAGTTCTTGGTCTCCTTGGCCTTGTTAATAACAGAAGGACGAACACCTGAATGTTCTGTAAAAGGTCGTTCAGAAAGTTTCCATTGCCCTCCAGCACAGTCCTGTTACCCAGTAACCACCAAACATGAATGCAGTGACAAGCTGGCCCAGGTAAGAATTGTGTGTTGAGTGCTTTTTATTTATCTTTTATATAAACTACACAGGTTCTGTCATCACTTTTGTTACACTGCAGTTATAGTGCCCACATTTAAATATAAAATCGGTCACAGCCATAATGAACAAATCCTAATCCTGGACCATAGCCAACAACCTTGGCTCTTAAACCAGCTTGGGAGGCACTGGGTAGTTTTGCTGATCGGCAGGCAGGTGGGCAGCCCATTTCAGACCTGCCTTCTCACACACCAGGTTTAACATTCTATTTGCTGCTGATTCAGCTTTCTTTCTTTTAGAGTCTCAGCCCTGGCTCATTGATTTTATGTTCTTATTTATTTAGTGGACTGATGTTAATAATTATTTTCTCCACATTAACCAAATTTCTATATTTCTTTTTTTTTAAATGGGTGGATGCATTTTGCTACCATATTAATGTTTTGGGATAAAATACAGTTAAAATATTTATTTTGGTAAGTACTAATTTGCCATAAGGATTTTTTGTCCCCCAGTTAGTTTCTTAAATGTAGTCCAAAAATTTTAACTGGTATATATTGTATAAACTTAATCTTGTATATATTGAGCATTTAATGAAAATGAGTATTTAATATTTTGGTCTTCGCTTCCTCTGTAATGATGATATAATTAACAAACTAGGCAATGCTAGGCCACCTCAAGAAAGAGCAAAGATGTCCCTCCCCACCAGAAAATTTGCGTCGTAAATGTTGTTCAAAACTAACCCTTGAGCTTTAGAGCTCACTAGTGTGAATTCATTATTTAGTGAGGAAACCTAAATAGGCAAATCTAAGCGAGTTCTACAATTGATGACTCATTTCTCATACAGATATGTACTTTACAATTATAATTTTCAAAGTAAAATATACACTTGTGGGGTTTACTGAGACCTTTGGCTTATATTCTTTTTCTCGAAGTGTCGCCAAGCCAGACGAACCAGGTCTGAGGTCGCGCTGCTGTGGAAGAACAGCCTTCCGATCATGGTGGAGGTGATGCTGCTGCCAGACTGCTGCTACAGCGACGAGGGGCCCACCACGGACGGTGTGGACCTCAACGACCCTGCAATTAAGCAAGATGCATTATTACTAGAAAGATGGGTGTTGGAGCCGGTTCCTCGACAGTAAGTTGTACAACTGAGTTTCAAGTTGTCCTTGGTAAATCAGGTTTCCCACAACTTTTTGTATAATATTGTAATAATATATACTTTTTCAGAATCCCTCTATTTATGTAGTAAAATTTAGTACAGATATAACTGTAGATACTTAGTACAGATATAACTTTAAGTGACAACCGGTAAATCTACTGCTGTGCTCTTGAAAGCAGACATCCTGAGGGGTATGTTTGTTTCAGCTTCTCTCTATCAAAAACTCAGTTATTTTGTACTTACTTGCTGACATTTAGATGATGCTTTTTTTTTTTTTTACTTAGGAGTGGTGATCGATTTATTGAAGAGAAGACCCTTCTATTGGCTGTCCGCTCATTTGTGTTTTTTTCTCAGTTAAGTGCTTGGCTGAGTGTTTCTCATGGTGCTATTCCACGAAATATTCTTTACAGGTATGTGTAGGCACAAAAAGAGCAGTGTGTATTCAACTGCATTGGTTAGTTCTTGAATGATATTTTACCTTTTCAGTATTTTATTTCTTTCGTTTCTAAATATAAGTGGATAAAATTTACTGGCATTTTTCTCAAAACAAGTTACAGAAATGTTGATATGAATCAGTATGAGTTTTGTTCCTCAGGTTATATTTGATGTGGAATAGTTTGCAGAGAACTTTTATGCTTGGTTTATAGAACCAACAGTGAACTTAGTGCTGCCATTATAAATAAAGTAGAAAAACGTTCAGGGCTGCTGAATTTCTGTAATGGCAGGCTTTCTTAATTTTTGCCATTTTGATAACTATAAACATACAAACTGCTGAACAACTATCTATAATTGTCTCTTTAGGTAGGTGGCCATGAGATAAGCATCTCTTAATCACCTTGCACAATAGAATTAGCTGAATCCAATTATTTAGTGGTAAATACAAAGTCCTTTTATTCTTTCTGCTCTGACAGGTAATTTTAAATTATAATATTCTTGAGCTTTAATGCTTGCATGGTCGGTCTAGTGCTCTTAAAAAGAAGGTCATCTCTACTAGTATTTGAAGCATAATCTATACTTCTTTTGTTGGTTTTGTCAGAATAACATGCATGGCAAAGTAGCTAAAAGCAAAACCTCAATCATAATTAATGCAAACAAAGATAAGTATATGACTGTTTAAAATTTTTAAAAATAATATACAGTAATGATTTTCATAACCCATGAAGTCCATATTTTTCTGTGTGATTCTAGAATCAGTGCTGCTGATGTCGACCTGCAGTGGAATTTTTCACAGACTCCAATTGAACATGTGTTTCCTGTTCCCAATGTTTCTCACAATGTGGCCTTGAAAGTCAGCGTTCAGTCCTTGCCCAGACAATCTAATTACCCAATTTTGACGTGTAGTATTCATACTAATATTGGCCTTTATGAGAAAGGAATTCAAGAACATGAACTTAAAGCCCATCAGCACCACAATTCTAACGAAGCAGAACAGTGTAGTACAAACAGTTCACAGCGTGTGTGTAGCAAGCAGACTTGGACCGTGGCACCTGAAAGTGTATTACATGGAAAAAGTGGCACCCCTCCAGAATACACTGCAGCTGTCAAAAATGGCAAACTGTATCCAGGCCCTGGCAGTAAATCTGACTATGGAACTTGTCAAGCCAATATTGTGGGCTTCAGTGGTACAGGAGATAAAAAGTCACATGAAACATCAGTGAGGACTTTAAAATCATTTTCAATGATTGATTCCAGTGTCCCCAGTCGCCAGAGTTCCTGGCAGTCAGTTGGTGAGACTAATTCTTTAGTATGCTCTTTAATTCAGGATCGACAAGAAGTTATTGCAAGAATTGCTCAGCATTTGATCCATTGTGATCCAAGCAGTTCACATGTTTCTGGACCTGTGTTTCATACTCAAGAGCCTAGTTCAGTTAATTCAAAACTTTTCCGGGTTTCACAAGAAAATGAAAATGTGAGAAAATGTAAAGAGACTTTCTCCATTTCTTTCGGTAGCCCAGAGCTTACCTCCTCAGAAGACAGCAGTGAGAGGAAGATCCGAGTAAAGCCAGAAGTTCCTCGAAGTGGAACTTGTACTGCTAATGGTCTTTATTCTCATCGGTCTGTCGGGGAGACTAACCCTTTAATAGGCTCGTTACTCCAGGAGCGGCAAGATGTGATTGCAAGGATTGCTCAGCACTTGGAGCACATTGATCCAGCAGCATCACGTCTACCCCGGCAACCGTTCCACGCTCATGACTCTACTTTGGTTCCTTCTAAAGTGTTTAGGAGTTCATATGAAGACAAAAATTTGTTGAAGAAAAACAAGGATGATGCCTCTGTTTCCATTTCTAATACAAAATGTTCCTTATTAGAAGACTGTGATGAAGGGGAAAGCTTAATACCTACTAAATCTCTTAGTCCTTTTAAATGCAATAGTAAAGTCAAGTCCTCTTCGAAACCTCAAATGAGAAGAAATCTGTATCAGGACAATCCTAGTGAAGGAATCCAAAGTACATTTCAGGGGATACAGAACAAAGCCACTAGTTTATCGGCTCCCTCAAATATGTCCCATTGCAAAGAAGATAAGTTAGTTTTGACAATCAGGTTGGAAAATACACTTTCTGAGTGTCAATTTAAGGAGCAAGAAATTAGCAATGGAATTGATAAACGGTATTCAAATGGCCATGGTGTTGACAAACAGATTGGCACAAATAAGAATAAGGAAAAAATAATTCAAAATGAAAATTGTAGCCCAGAATCTTTTAACAATCACCAATTTGATAAGCCCAAAAATAATGACTCAAAAATAGAAGTTACTACATTGGAAATGTCTGGATATTTGAACAAACGTGAGAACAAGTGCTCAAATAAAGACTCAAAAAGGCCTACAACATATGAGCAAAATATGCAACTTAATAGTATAGAAAATTATCTCAATAAGGATAAGGAAGATTTCAAATGCAGAAGACAAGACCAATTAAAAAACGAACAGGATAAGAAAGAAGATCCAACTGATGAAAAATTTCAAAACTGTCCTCAGAGAAAGAGTATAAATGGCTGTTTGTCTACATATGAACAACTGAAAAATACAGAGGTGTTGGTAAGTAATACCTAATATTTCAAATATAATTCTTAAACATCTGTTTTGGTGTGGATTTTCTTTATAGGAGGTCTAGTTATAAGGCGCAAGGTGCCCATTATCTGTAGAACATATAAGTTGATGTAATAATCCTGCTACAGAACTAGTATTAATTTCATTGCAAATAACCCACTCACTGAAGAGCAAATGCTAGGTACATTCTTTCTGTTGCCCCTTTTTTGTTTATTTCAATATTATGAACAATTGCTGGAGAGTAAATAGGAGTCATAAATAAAATTTATGTTAACTTATTGTTGATCAATTGTTCTGTCAGTGTACGGACCTGCAACCTTGGCTTATCGGGACGATGCTCTAACCAGCTGAGCTACCTGGCCAAGGTTATGTTCTGTTATTAACTCCAGTTTACAAATGAGAGCCCAAGACCTGGAAAGGTTAAGTTAATTTGCCCAACATCACAAAGCTAGTAAATGGTAGAGTTAGAACCCAAATTAGTCTTTTCTGATTTTTATTCGTGTGTTTTTATGAAATTTTGATCTTTGGGCATAAACTTACCTAGATTCTTAAGAATTAGCCTATTTCCTGTATCACTTCAAAAACATGGTACTGTGACTATATTAGATATATTTTAAAATTTATGTTTACTATATTGCTGTATCATTCCCCACCAACTTACATCCTCTGAGAATGCCTCTTGATATTTACATAGGTTTATATTTTAGAATATTATGCTATTTTTCCTACCTCCGAGTAGTTTTTTCACAAATAAACAGAATCAAATATTACCTTACTAGATGCTACAATCCGAGTATTTATAAATAATGACCATATGTTGATAAGGTATTTGAACATACTTTCTTTAGAATACTTTCTTTGAGTTTATTTAGCATCTTAGAAAAAGCTTAGACATTGTTTTCTGATTAAAGTGTGTGTGTGTAAAGATACGGATATATAGATCATTATTAACTTCACCACCAAGGCTGGAATACCTCAATACATAGTAGAAATAAGTCTAACATTAAAAAAATCACCATCGAAATCTAATTCTTTTCCTAGCAGAAAACTATACCACTGAAACATTCAACTGTCTGGCGGAAACATAATTTTCATTCCTTGGATGGAACCGTAACCAGAGCCTTTCACCCTCGGACTGGCTTGCCTCTTCTTTCAAGTCCTGTAAGTATTTTCCTTTGATCTCATATTTAGAAATTGCAAATATCTGAAATGTTTGCCAGTCATTAATCAGCAGCACTCTGGTGTGAAAAGCACTATAGACTCCATTCAATATGGTGCACTGAGCTGATACAGGAAGACTGCCTCCTCCTTCCCAAACACAGAAATCCTGGATAAGACAGCACAACTTGTAAATACATAATACAGTGTAACAGCAAGAAAGGTACACCTCTGAGTACTAACTTGGACAAATTACGGCCCTCTCGGATATCTGAACTGAAGATAGTGCTAGGGTTTAATGGCCTTCGTGGGACAGGAGTCAGGGCGGCAAATCTGCTCCAGTCATAGCTGGGTCCTGAAAACCAAACTCCTCACAAAACTAGAAACAGGGGTGACCTACCCTTCTAGAACTGGGAGAGGAGGGGAAAATAACCTGTTTATTTAAGGGTGCAACAGGGAGGTGTATAGTGGGTGGGAAAATAATCCCCCAAAAGAATTTTGACTTAAACCTAAGCCACTCAGGGTAGTTCTGAATTTGTGCTGTCTAGCTAAGAAATAACCATAGACTAAATTGAAGCCTGTAAAATCCATTGAGTCCTAGCAGAAGAAACACGAAACTATTCCACATCTATACCCCATGGCACCAAGGATTTATTTTCCTGGAAAATAGCTCTTGCTCAAGATTATCTCAGAGGAAAAACACTACAAAGCACCTTAAAAGAATCAGAAGGAGCAAGAAATGGAGGAATTCACATTTAGGAATCCTGCTATCAGAGAAACCTGAAAAGAGAGTTAAAAGTAATTGTTTAAAATATTCTAAGATATAAAGGATGATGAAGACGGGGGTTAAGATGAAAGAGCATGTGGATTTGAAAGAGAACTAAACACATTATAAACATGAAAAACTATTATAATTGAAGTATACACAGGTGTACATAGACATACAGGTGCATTAAACAGTGGACTAGAACGAGCTGAATGGAGATTTAGTGAATGGATTAGACAGATATTAAGAAAGCACTTAGGGGAAAAAACATAAAAGAAAGCACTTAGAATGATGCACAGAAAGGAAGTGAATGGTAAAATATGACGGCAATGGAGGATAAAATGAGATGCTCAATATAAGTCTCGTAGAAATTCTAAAAGGAGGACTAGATAAAATAAGGAAAATGCAGTATTAGAAGAAATAAAGATAGATACTTTTTTAGAATCGAAGAATGAGAGTTTAGATGGAAAATTTCACATTAAGTGCTGACTCCAAAAAAATTGCATGGTGTACTTGCACAACTCTCAAAAATATTGAGGTTGGCCCTGCCGGTTTGGCTCAGTGGATAGAGTTTCGGCCTGTGGACCGAAGGGTCCCTGGTTGATTCCAGTCAAGGGCACATGCCTGGGTTGCGGGCTCGATCCCCAGTAGGGGATGTGCAGAAGGCAGCCACTCAATATTCTCATCATTGATGTTTCTATCTCTCACTCCCTCTTCCTTCCTCTCTGAAATCAATAAAGTATATTTGAAAATAATGTGTTTGATAAGATTGTGCACATTTAAAAAATATTGAAGTTGTTTAGATTTTCAGTGTCATCTGTTTCTTTATAGTCACTAATTAGACTGATCGCTTAGATACTTGTATATACTTACTATTAATTCTAGAAATATCTGTCTAACTTGCACGTTGTACATAATTTTACTTTTAATTTACACTTGGGTCTTTCATTTTTAGGATATTTTGATCTAGGTAGTAGTTTGTGTTAAATGGAATCTGGTATACAATGGTGCTTCAAACTGCAGAGTGTAGTATTTTTCAAATCTATTGGCTATGGAGCCCCAGGGTTCTTGGAAATGTGCAGCGTGGTGGCGATGGACAAAGGAGCAACACAGCTGGCCCCACCCCAAGCTCCCATCGCCATTTAATTATTCTTTTCCTTTTTATCTTAAACCTATAAATCTTTTATTTCTGCTCCCAAAATACAGAAGTATGTAAAATAAAAACATCTTATAATTATATTGAGATTCCATGTAGGATTTGGTTTTAGAAAAAACTGGTTCTGCTTCTTAAAAAATAATAAAAACCTAGTAAAAGGGCTTTTATTAATCCCATTTTTCCCATATTAGTTAATAAAATAAGAACATAAAAACAATCTATACTAATAAAAGGGTAATATGCTATTAGACCAGATGTCTCCCGGACATCATTCAGGACGTCCTTCCTGATGAAGCCGGGGCCAGAGGGAAGCCAACCCGGGTCCCGGGTGCCTGTCGGTGGCTCAAGGGAAGGCAGACTGGGTCCCGGGTGCCTGCTGGTGGCTGTAGGAGGGAAGCCCGGGTCCTGGGTGCCGGAGGGAAGCTGGTGCTGGCAGCTGGGGGAAGGAAGGCCTACGCTTACATGAATTTTCATGCATCAGGCCTCTAGTCTACACTAATAAAAGAGAAACATGCAAATTGGCGTCACTCCACTATGCCCACCAGCCAATCAGAGTGACTATGCAAATTAACCCAACAAAGATGGTGGTTAATTTGCATACATAAGTGGCTCTGACCAGAGTGAAGACTGAAGACTGAAGACTGAAGAGGCTTGGCTTCTCTGCTGCAGCCGGAGAGGAGAAGCCTAGCATCGAGGCTTGGCTTCTCCGCTGCGGCCAGACCAAAGGCCTGGGTCCCAGGTGCCGGAGGAAAACCGGTGCCGGCAGCCAGGGAAAGGAAGGCCTATTGCGCGAATCTTCGTGCAGTGGGCTTCTAGTATATAATAAAGAACATGATCTTAAGTAAGCTGTTTTGGGAGAAAGTTTATTATTTTTAAGATACAGTTAGCTTTCATTTGTTAAGTATTGTCAATTCAAGAAAAAATTATAGTCTTTTTTTTTTTTAATTTCACAAATGATTACTTTGACCGTAGGTTCCTCAAAGAAAGACACAATCAGGCTGCTTTGATCTGGATTCTTCATTACCACATCTGAAAAGCTTATCATCTAGAAGGTATTTACCTTAAAATTCATTTGTGTATATGAAATAGTATTACACAAAATTCTGACCTTTTACAATTAATAATGTTGGCTCTAAAAATCACAAATTTAACAGAAATCTTTTTCAATTGGTTATCATTTTCAATGTGATGTCACACATGCAGTTATTAAGGGTGAGTTAGGGAGAAATTAATACTACATAAACAAATCTTTAGCATTGGTTTTAACATTTAAGTGGGTTTGTATATTTCCAGTCATTCACCTCCTCTTTTGCCTTACACTCATTTGCAAAAAGCCTCAGCATTTGTTCCAAGTTGACATATAATACTGTCATTCTTTAGTCAGATAATTTTGCCTTTGTATTTTCATTTTTCACTGAAAACAAAAACTGATATAGGAGACTGCATTATTATATATCTCCAGCAGATGCCACTATGTGATATGTTATAAATTCCACCATGAAAACTTCCAGGATGTTATATATATTCTTTATAAAATATTATAGCAATGATTATAAAATCTAATCAAGAATGTTAAGCTAGATATTTAACATCTTAAAATTTGGTAAAATTAATTTTTATTATGGTAGTTTAAGTAAAATTAATCATATTATCTTAATTTAATGCAAAAGTAAATTAGAAAATATTTTGGTTAATATGTCCATTTGCTTTTTTTTTTTTAGTCCTCGGCCCTGTTTAAACATTGAAGGCAACCCAGAAATTCATGAAAAACCATTTCTGAGTTCTAGTGCTCCACCTATAACAAGTCTTAGTCTCCTAGGAAATTTTGAGGTAATGTTTTTTTTTAACTATTTTAGAGTTGAAGTTTCTTAAGCTAGATCCAGGGTATAATTTATGTCATTTGTTTATGAAAGGGAAATAAATAAATGGGTTGTATTTTTCCAAAGCCTGGAAATCACCTTTCTTTCCCTTTTTCTTTTTTTCCCTTTCCCCTCTTCCCTTTCCTTTTCAGGAGAAGTGGATTTGAGAGAATTGTTAGCTGTGACATCTTAGAATTGGGTAGCTTGTAGAGGAGACAGAGGACTTAGATGCGATCAGGTTGGATCGAGGTATCTGTGACTCTAGCTGCAGGATAGACTTGACTCACCTTCTTACCTGGTGCACTTGGCTCTGGGACCCAGGAAGGATGATGGTGAACTGATAGCAGCCCCTTCATGACCAATGAGGTTGGCTTTTAAAATCAAATGGTTCTTTGTACTATATTTGCAATTTCTCTGTAAACCTAAATCTGTTCTTAAAACATGAAGTTTTTTTTAAATCAAATGGTTAAAGGTCTCTGGTACATGTGCTGCTTTATTTAGTATGGATATTTCTACTTGGGACCAAGTGTATTATTATGGATTTAGTTGTCATTAATTAGAAAACCACCTTCAACATGAACCTGTTAATGACATTTTAAAAGTTACTTTAATTGATGAATTTTTATGGGAAAATAACTTAAGATTTGTATTTTTAATTTAAATGGCTTATCAGTTATGGTGCTTTGATATATTAACAGTATTGCTTTATTCAAGATCATTTTTTAATATTGAGGCTATCTTTCAAGCTTTTAGTAGCAACAGAAACTATGTTTCATGGTAAGTTGATCAATCTCTTTTCCATGTCACTGCCCAAGGCATCAGTTCAGAGATATTGATCTCAATATTCTTCTTTGTCATCAATTTAAAATTATATAAGGTCATTGTAAGGCTCAGGTCCTCTGCAATCTTTGTACAGTAATCCAAGAACATTTATGAGAGGGAAAAGAGATTTTTGATATGTGAAAACCTTAAGAAAGAGAAGATGGTTAAAAGGTCAGTAAACGGGTCTTCTCACACAATTCTATGCAGATAATGCATACATTTTCACGTGACTTAAGTAGAAAAACAGAGAAGTTCTGAAACTGTCCAACTCATAGGTCCTCTTTAATTTATAATGAATTAGGTGCTCTCTCCAATAAATCACTGATGATATATAGATAGATATAGATATAGATTATTTTTTATTTTTTTTATTTTTTTACTTGTTTATTTTTGCTTAGTGCATTTGACTCTCTGTGGCAATTTTAAAAAGAGGGAGAGCCGAACCGGTTTGGCTCAGTGGCTAGAGCGTCGGCCTGCGGACTCAAGCGTCCTGGGTTCGATTCTGGTCAAGGGCATGTAGCCTGGTTGCGGGCACATCCCCAGTGGGGGGCGTGCAGGAGGCAGCTGATCGATCTCTCTCATCGATGTTTCTAACTCTCTATCCCTCTCCCTTCTTCTCTGTAAAAAAATCAATAAAATATATTAAAAAATAAATAAATAAAAAGAGGGAGAGGATAGACAAATTACTGAACTGACACATTGGTCTTGTTTCATGAAACAGGGCAAAGCCTTACCCTGCAAAGTGGTTGAGGGGAATCTGGATGTTTTTATATTATTTGTGGGGCTTTAGGTGGAGTCTAGAAACACATTGACCCAAAGTAATACCCAAGTAGAAGATTGTGTATTTATTTCTGAGGCTAGTTTCTTTTTCTTGCTATAAGGGGTTAATATCCAAAATATATAAGAACTCATACAACTCTATAGCAAAAAAATTTTTGATTAAAGTTTTCTACTCCAGCCCTATCTGGTTTGGCTCAGTGGATAGAGCATTGGCCTGCGGACTGAAGGGTGCCAGGTTCGATTCCAGTCAAGGGCATGTACCTTGGTTGCGGGCACATCCCCAGTAGAGGGTGTGCAAGAGGCAGCTGATCGATGTTTCTCTCTCATCGATGTTTCTAACTCTCTATCCCTCTCCCTTCCTTCTGTAAAAAATCAATAAAATATTTTTTTAAAGTTTTCTACTCCAAAATAAATACATTAATTAATAAGATAAAAAGTTTTCAAGTCCAAAAACCTTGTCTTATCCATTCCACTCATCTGTCCTGTGAATCTCTTCCATCAATTCAGTCCAGAACAATACTGACAACCATTAGAAATGGGTGTGTTTTTTTCTACATGAGGGAATCCCAGGAATTTCTATCACTGTAAAAAGCTTGCATTTTCTAAAATTTTATATAAGTAGATTCATTCAGCATTTACTTTTGAGGGTGGTGGTCAGGGGTTTCTTTTACTGACCATTATTAGTTATCCATATTGTCCTGTACATCAACAGTTGATTCCTTTTTATTGCTGTTATATGATATAGCACAGTATGTTTATTGATTCACCTAATTGTAGACATTTGGGCCATTTCCAGTTTTTGGCTATTACAGATAAAGCTGCTGTAAATATTCATGTTTCTGTGCTAACATAAATTTTCATTTTGCTTGGGTAACTACCTAGGAATGGAATGTCTGGATAGTATGGTAGGTGTATGTTTAACTTTTAAAGAAACTGCCAAACTGTTTTGCAAAGTAGCTATACCATTTTTAATTCCCACCGGCAATGTATGACAATTCTAGTTCTTCCACATCCTTGCCAATGTTTGCAATGGTCAGGTTTTTTTGTTATTGTTGCTTTTTAAACATCCAAAGCTGTGTTTAAATGAGTTTCCTTAAGGCCAAACTGTATGTTCTACATTTGTGTTCCATGAAATTCTCTTATATCCTTTTACTTTATTTTTCAATTACAGTCCACATTCAATATTATTCTGTCTTAGTTGCAGGTGCACAGCATAGTGGTTAGACAGTCACATTCTTTACAAAGTGTTCCTCCCAATATTTCCAGTACCCACATGACACCGTACATGGTTATTACAATGTTATTGACTACATTTCCTAGGCCAGTGATGGCGAACCTATGACACGCGTGCCAGAGGTGACACGCGAACTCATTTTTTTGGTTGATCTTTCTTTGTTAAATGGCATTTAAATATATAAAATAAATATCAAAAATATACATCTTTGTTTTACTATGGTTGCAAATATCAAAAAATTTCTATATGTGACACGGCACCTGAGTTAAGTTAGGGTTTTTCAAAATGCTGACACACTGAGCTCAAAAGGTTCGCCATCACTGTCCTAGGCTGTCTATTACCTGCCCATGACTCCTTTGTAGCTACCATTTGTACTTCTTAATCCCTTCACCTTTTCCATCCATCCCCCAACTCCCCTCTCCTCTGGCAACTATCAGTCTGTGCTCTGTATCTATGAGTCTATTTATTTTGTTTGTTCATTAATTTTGTTCTTTAGATTCCACATGTAAGTGAAACCATATGGGTATTTCACCGGTCAGTCTTTTTATTTTAGCCATTCTAGTGTGTGTGTAGTGCTTTTGTACTGTAGGTTTTGTTGTTTTTAGAGAGAGTGGAAAGGAGGGGAGAGGGGCTCTGTGAGGATTAACAAAATTTCTGATATCATACCTACTCTCGTAGAGTTTTGATTTGTTTATTTACAGAAATAAGAATAACATTGAACAATTAGGTCTAACGGTGAAATTCAAGGATAGCTCAGCATGGGTTGGAATAGTGAGAGGAGGCAAACTTGATAGCATGGTAGAAGATCGATGGGAGCGGGGTTAATTTCAGGTCAGGTGAACATTAGAAATGAGGGCATGGCAATGGTAGCAACCACTTTTCTCGTGCCAGAAGGCATAGTAATGTATTTCTTTAAATAGAAGGCAAAATGAATGTGTTGTGTTAACTTTTAAAATTTATATCTTAAGAATTATTTTGTCTTCTAGGAATCCGTCTTGAACTATCGCTTAGATCCTCTCGGCATTCTTGACGGTTTTACGGCCGAGGTAGGGGCCAGTGGTGTCTTCTGCCCCACACATTTGCTGCTTCCGGTAGAAGTGTCATTCTACAGTGTCTCCGATGACAATGCTCCCTCTCCTTACATGGCAAGTATTTTTTAAATTGCCTTTTTCTGCTAAACTTTACCAACTTAATGACAGATGTCTTTAAGTTTAAAGAGATTGAGGACTGCTTTGGTGCAATGGTTGAAAATATAAAGTATTTCCTAAGAGAAAATTGAAGGCTGAATAGAGACTAATTAATATACCAACCAACATGTTACCTCACAACTTCTTTCTGAGCTAGCTCCAATAATAGATATCTTTTGCATTTGACAGTGGTGCTGACATTTTACTTGTTTCTGTGTGATTTGAAAAAAAAAGATAAAAATTTGATTAGTGACACTATCATTCCATGTCTTGCTGGGTTCACACAAATTCTCAAGTGCTTACTGTGCACACTGCTCCCACAAGGGTTGCCTTCACATGTGATCCTCATCTCAGTAGAGTTTAGGGGGAGGCACGGTAACCTAAGGCTTCTGCGGGGCCCTTTTACCCACTTTGTCCTGTTTGGTTTGTCTTTGGACCATTTTATTCTAATCCTGAGGCCTTTTAGAATATTAGTTATTCTGACTGACCGCTAATGTTTTACTGGAGAGTAAGATAGCTCAGGGGAATTAGAGCAGAGTATTGAGCCTTCCGGTCCTGTGATTTCATCTTTTCCGTTTTTTATTCCAGTGCATTGAGCATAATCTAAGCCTTCAACTGCAGAAATGATACCAAGTCCTGGAGTATGATTAGTATCAGCCATTTTCCAAAACACAGAGAGCGAGAAGCAATGCAAGTCCATACAAGTTTACAGAGATGGTGTCAAATAGGGAGTCCGAGCTGGGTTTTCAGTTCGGTCTTCCTTTGAGAAATATATATCTACATATCTATATGTGTATATATCTATATATCTATATCTATGTCTATATCTATATCTATATCTATATATCTATATCTATATCTATATCTATATCTATATCTTGCCATAGGCATAGAAATATACAGCTCTGGTCTTGCCCCTCTAATGTCCTCACTACCTCCTGGCTCCATTGCTTCCTCTCCCCCATCTTTTAGATTTTCAAGGACATTAATAATAGTGTCTTTTGTTATTAATAAAAGTTGTGGAAAGGGAATTCTACATAATCAAGAAACAACAGAGGAAGGGAAGTTTTACTTTTTTTAGAAGCCTAAATGTAGCCTACTCACTATTGGCTCAGGGAAGCTTTATTCCATTCTAAGTGTGAAAATGTTAGTCAAGATCCTGGTCCACGTTTCATACTTCAATAGAAAAAGCTTACTGGTGTCTGCCCATTTATTCAGTTTTCTTTTCCCAATAATATTTACACTTGCGGGTCATAACCATAATGATGCACAGCATTGGTTATTATGAAAAGTGAGGCCCCTCCTTGACAAACCTACCCGTTATCCCATAAGCCACCTGTTAGTCATTTACTACAGAAACAGGTATCCACTTTTCCAGTATAATTTTGAAAAAAAATAACTCGTAATTTGGGTTAATTAATATAATGGAATGCCATTGAAATAAGGTCAGTATTAGGATAAAAGTGCATAATACTGGAATGCTTACAGTATTATAATATAATTGTGACAATGTCCATTTTGCTTTACCAGGACATCAAGAAGTCTCTTCGGTTTAGCATATTCTACTGAATATACATAGTGACAGAGAATTGAACGATAAGGTTGAAAATACTGTAATCTGTCATTGGGTCACAGAGTCCTGATAACCATTAGGATGGCAGAGGAATAAGATAAAAGAGTGAATTCGCTAAACATTAGCTCAAATAAATATATTTGAGTGAAATTCATGAGCAAGAGGTCATTTGAACTATGCTTTAAAAAAGCACAACAGCATTAATCCTTGGCCTTGGTTGACATTTAAAAAATGAAGGATTAAGAGATAAAGGATTGAGATTTCCGTCTTTAAAAAGTACACACAAATGATTACAGATCTTGAGAGTTTAAATCAGGTTACTGAGTTAGTCTATTCTTAAAGAATTCTGATTTGCTTTTTTCTGATAATATTCTTCAATAAACTTTCCATTGTGTAATTTTTTTGTCAGATTACTCATTAGAAATGGGTTCCCTTTGCAGCAAATGATGCAGTCCAAATCTTAGACCACAGATCTTTCCTACTATAAATTAATAAAATTATTGTTCTTCAGGGAATTGGTAATTCCATCTGTTTTCAAAGTACTGATTATGTTTTGATAAGATAATACATAAAACAGATCAGCAGAGTTGAGACTCCAAACTCCTATTTGTTACTTTAATAATAACCTTGGGACCTCACATTACAAATTACACAAATGACTCACAAAGATAAATGTTTGGCCCAGAAATTTCTGCCTTTATGGTATAGAAGTGGTACTGGACTTTTCAGTAAGTAATTCCTTAAAAATTAACTCAAAGCTATATAATATCTCTCTCCAATTGGGTGTCAGTGGTAAAAATGTTCTTCGAGTGTTGTATAATATTACAACTTTTCACAGTTTAAAAACTATTGCTTAGTGGAACCAAGCAGAAAGGTCTAGAGCAGGTGTGCCAGTACCAAATTCAAGTTATAACTTGTATTATCATCATATTAACAGGGTCATATGTTATTTTCTCCTATTTGTAAGTAACCAAATTAAGATAAACTTCTTTCTGTTTTACTTAGATTTGTATATTTCCTATTAAACAATAATTTGAGAATAAGTTTTTGTATAAGATTTGACCTAGTTCATTTATCTTAACCTTTCTATTCCATCGTAAAATGCCAGAAGTACAGCAACTTTTTCTTCATAGAAATATTGATATGCTGACCAATTAAATAATAACTTAAATAATAATAGAATTTCAAATAATTTCCCCATTTCTTTCTAATTCCTAATTTGCCAACGCCATACTGGCTTAGAAATTGTGAAGTGTTGCCCTGGCCAGTGTGGCTCAGTTGGTTGGGCATCATCCTATGCACCAAAAGGTTGCCATTCGATTCGCAGTCAGGGCACGGGCCCCGGTTGTGGCTGGATCTCTGGTGGGGTGAGTGGAGGAGGAAGCCTATCAATGTTTCTCTCTCTCTCCCTCTCCATCTGCCTCAAAAGAAATCACTGAAAAATCTTGTTAAAAAAAGAAAAGAAATTGTAAAGTGTTGCTTTAAACCTGAAAGTTTTGGTTGTTTTGTTTTTTTTTAATTCTATTTTCTCGACATGCTTCTCCCTCCCGGAAGCATGCCTGTGCCTTTCCCTTCCCCCATTCTTTCCTCTTAGGCATGTATCTCCTAAAATCTAAGGGTTCCTACAAGACTTGGAACCAGGGGAGCAATGGGCAACGACTGCTCGTCTCAGGCTAACCCCCTGAACCTGTCTCCAAGGTCCTCTTTGTTGCTTCTTCTATTCTAAGCCCTTCCTTGTTTCACTGTCCCCCAGCTTTAATAAACTTACTCTCAAAATGAAAAAATAACCTATATTATTTCTTTATAAATTAATTTTGTTACTGTTACCATGTTCTGAAAACTATTATAATTGTATTAAAGGAAATAAATATAGGCTTGATTAGTAGTTTTTGAGTTACCAGTTTCCCTTTACTTATTTAAGGTAGGGTGGCACGGAAGAACAGTAATGTATTACCTGTAGCAATGTGATTGTAAAGGTGGCTATATTTATATATTTTTTACCGTTTTCCCCTAGAACTAGGAAGAAGATGCTGTAGCATTTTTCATATAGAGCAGATTGTAAGAGAGAACATGTTTAAAGCTTCATTGCTGTTTTGGTTAGGGATACAATTTGTTGATACTCTTGTTTTCATGTTTCAAATGGCCATGTATAAATCACATTTGTCAAGAGCCACGTTTCTTCTCAGTGCCCATTTTCACAAACATTTCCCAATATTAACATGTTAACAGTCCGATGTCAAGTGCTGTTCACTTAGAGTTGTGATGTTTCCATATCGGAGTCTGCTTTTTCCTTTTACCTTGTCCACTCCTTTTTACTCTCCCCTCCCCCGCCCCCTCCTTGGCCTGTCTTTCAAACACACGGATGTTGCCTGATGGGACAGTCCTGTTTTATATTCAGTTTTACATAAGGTTGGCGTATTTTGGTGTGCACAACATAAAAAGATAGGCTATAAAATGGAGAGAATGCAATTATTCTACTTAACTACTCAAAACTGTTAGCCCAGTGAAAACAAATGAATTAGCATTCTTCTCTTAAAGCCATCTGAGAATTAAGTATCACAATCACTGCCTGTCATTTGGTTATCCTGGTTATCTGGACATTTTCACACATTCAATCAGAGCTTCCCTTGTATTAATTGGTACTTCTTTCCCATTTGAGGACTGCTGCAATGATTAGAACATCCGTCTCAGGAAACTTCATTATATAGCACAGCAGTGCTTTTCATACATGAATGTGTGCATGATATCATCTGGGAAATCTGGTTAAAATGCAGAGTTGATTTGGTAGGTCTAGGGCAGTGATGGTGAACCTTTTGAGCTCTGCATGTCAGCATTTTGAAAAACCCTAACTTAACTCTTGTGCCATGTCACATATAGAAATTTTTTGATATTTGCAACCATAGTAAAACAAAGATTTATATTTTTGATACTTATTTTATATATTTAAATGCCATTTAACAAAGAAAAATCAACCAAAAAAATGAGTTCGCGTGTCACCTCTGACATGTGTATCATAGGTTTGCCATCACTGGTCTAGGGAGAAGCCAGTAATTCTGCATTTCTAACAAGTCCATAGGAGATAAAGATAATGCTGGTCTGTCTCTAATCCATATGACTAAAGAACTGAGTGCATTTTTGGCCAAGACTTAGATCCTTCCATATTCCTGACTTTTTATATGTCCAAAGATCAATAAATTATTTTGCTTCATTTCCCTCTTCCCACATGATACAAGGGTATAATCCTGTATCCCCTCCCTTTATCCTTTTTAGTTAAGGAACTTCTTACTTTTGTATCCTATATCTTAATAGAAATGTCAAACAGTATGGTGTTATGTAACTGTTATTTACTTGGTATATTTGTTATCCTATATAATAAAAGGGTAATATGCAAATTGACCCTAACAGCAGAACAACCGCTGGACCAGTCACTATGAGGCGCACTGACCACCTCAGTCCCTTTCCCCAGCTGGCAGGCTCTAATCGCCTGATGGTGAACGGTGATCCGGGGTTGAGTGGCAGGGGACGTGGACAGCACCAGGCCAAGGCCCCCACCCCACCGGTGGCCCCACACACAGAGGGTAGAGGCAGGGCTGGTGATTGGGTGGGAACAGCTGACCTCTCGGTCCCTTTTCCTGGCCATCAGGCACTGATCAACCAATGGCGAATTGGGAACTGGGGGTGGTGGCGGGGGGCGGGGCCGGCTGTGGGAAACCGGGGAAGATGGCCCTGATCACAGGCCAGGCCTACGGACTGTACCCGCACACTAATTTCGTGCGCCAGACCTCTAGTTTATTATATATTTGATGTTACATATTATTTGTTGCAACATCTGCAAGAAGAACAGTAAATTGTTTTCATACCAGTGGTACTCTCACTATTTCATACTATAGAATTATCTGTTAATGCAATGTGAATTTTTTTCCATACAAATAGAATTCTGAAATTTTAGTAATTACATTATTTATTATTATTATTTTAGTCTTTTGTATACATATGCATCAGTTTGTACTCAATTTGTCTTCTTTTATTTCAAGGGTGTGATTACTTTAGAGTCCCTTGGTAAAAGGGGTTATCGAGTACCTCCTTCAGGAACAATACAAGTGGTATGTGTTTTATAGCCTACAATTGCAATAATCATTCTCTCACATACATGTAGAACTTAGCCCTTTCTCCTGCTACTGCTGCTGCAACGACCTTGGTAAGTAACAGTGGGCTGCAGCTTTGTTTGGAGTTTCCCTGCTCTGCCCCAGGAGTGACCCTTTGGGGGCCTCCATAAAAGGAAAGCATTAATAAGCTAATCAAGGTGAATGCATTAAAAAAATAGTATACGACAGTTCACATAACTTCAATAGGGCTATTCTAATATAATCAGAAGCTAGCGTTACCAGTGCCTTCTATTTAAAATAGTAAGCCAGACTGAGATCAACCTATTCAAAAGGAGACCCCAAATATTAGACCCCAGGAAAACTTAGGGAATAAAATTACATATCCCTAGGGTAATAATTCCTACATTGATCTAATGAGAATGTAGTCTGGCAGATGTCGGGGCAGAGAAGGCATATTTCCTTTCGGTCTAGGTGTTGATCTAGTTTGGGTCGGGGAGAACTGTTCGGGCCCAGAGCAGTCCTTCCGCATCCTTGGTCTGAGGTTCTCGTAAGAGTAATTAGATAATTAGATGTCAAGGCCACGCTGCCACTGAGTGCATCTCCAAGTCAGACCCGGGATCATCTTGAAAGCCCCGGAGTCTATTTATTACAGAGTTGGCCCTTGCAGACTAAAAAGAGTCTCTTTGATATTTGTCAATTATACCTCAATAAAGCTAAAATTTAAAAAAGAAAAAAAAAGCCTAGTGAGTTCCTCACACTTAGGATCTGGTGTAATTCAACAAGCTTTTTTATGACCTTTGGCTTCGGTGGGATTGGTGCTCACCAGACCACTTTTACTCATCACCCTTGTTCCACTACAGCCAAGGAGTCTACCTTTGTTTATTGCATATCACACAGGAATTAAACAGGACTATGCAATATGTATGTGTGTGTAGATATTGCAATATTGAGGAAGAATCACTGCATATTAAAGTAAGATGTTTATGTTGAATGGAAATCTTGAACTAAAAGAATGATACTCTGTTCTCTTGCCTCTGGCTGTGTAGAGCATATGCAAGTGTGAGTCACTGGAAAGCTAGCTGTCAGTTGTCAAAATAATGAGGCATAAACACAAAGACAGCACAGTCGCCTCTTGTTTGAGGACTGCCAACTTCAATGGTTAATTTTAAATATGAAATTTAGGTATATCTTTAATTTCTTACATAGTTTGATTATATATAAACATGGTTTGAACTCCTGGCTTGCTAGTTGTGTGGTTTGTTGAATGTATTCACCTTAAATCTTAAGACTCACTAGATTTTTAAAAATTGGATCATAATATTGATATATTTCTCATTTTGATTCAGTGAGTGATGTCCAGTGCCACGGATGAGCTTCAGAAAGCATGGGCACCAAGTTACCTATTGATGTGTTGGTAATTTGGTTAAAGTCAGATCAGCAGCTTGGGATTTTGTTTATAAATCAGCATTTTAAAAAATAATATTCCTTTGATTATTCATAGTCAAGTGTCAATTGAATTTAATTCAATCTTCACCAAGGATACATATTTTGGTCTATTTATGATATTGATGATTTTAAAAAGTGTTACTGCAGTTTTTGAAATGAATCCAACTATGAGAACATGAAGTTTTATTTAGCTTACTTGATAACTAATAATAATGAACTTTATTCTCTAAGTTTGGAAGCATTTCAAATAAGAAAAAGTCTCTTTTTTGAGAACATATTTTAAATTTTATAATAAATATATGTACCTAAAACACCAAAATGTCTACCTTTATCAAGCTTTTATTTTTTTAAAGAATTCTATTTACTCACTATGAAAATAGGAGGAAAATTAAAATTGTATTTTGGGAAATTTGCAGTTGGTACACTGTAATGAAACTAATGTTTGAAATAAATGAGCTGGATTATTTTAATTCATTGAGGATATATTTTGCATAATCTAGTGGAGTAATTTATTAAAATTTGAATAAGGAGTAAAAGTTATGTATTGTCTATTAATATAAAATTTGTGACAAATTTTTTATTTGCTTTAGTATTTTATATTATTGTTAAATAAATAATATAAATTGAACCATTTTTTAAAAAAAAACTGAATATCAGTTCATAAACTTTTGAAATTTTATTAGCTTTAGTCTCCAAAACTGAATTATATTCACTGGCATTAATTTTTTACTTAAAATCTTTTTTATTATTGGCATAACCATTTTGAGTCAAATCAACAAATCACTGTTTTTAAAAAAGAATTTCTGTATTGTTTCTTCAGACCTTATTTAATCCCAATAAGACTGTGGTGAAGATGTTTGTTGTGATATATGACTTACGAGATATGCCAGCCAATCATCAGACATTCCTACGACAAAGGACTTTTTCTGTACCAGTTAAACAAGAAATGAAGAGAAGTGTTAATAAAGAGAACATCCGTCATACAGAAGAACGGTTATTACGCTACCTCATACATCTGAGGTAATATTTAAAATGAAAAAAAAAAAATGTTACTTTAGAAGAACAACTCTGAAATGTTTAGTTTATTTTAAAAACTGTCACTCTAATTAGACCAGTGCCCCTTGGGATTTGCTTAACTTGGAAACTTTGATGATATGCCAGGATGCAGAAAACACATGGCACATCATCTTACAGTCATTATTACTTCCTGAATCGGAGGAGTTTTCATTTCTAGCTGTATGCAAAATGTTTTATAACAAAACAAATGCTGATAAATCTGGGACAGTGAGACACCTTTTCTAAACCAACACTGTCCAATCCTATATAATAAAAGCCTAATATGCCAAGTGTCCAACCATTCGACCATTTGACCGGTGGCTATGACGTGCACTGATCACCAGGGAGCAGACGCTCCCACTGGTAGGTTAGCTTGCTGTTGGGGCCTGGCTGATCGGGACTGGGTGAGACTGGCCAGACACACTCTGGAGCCCTCCCATGATCCCTCCCCTGCCCAATCGTGCACTGGTGAGGTCCCTGGCCTGGCCTGCTCCCTCTTGCAATCCGGGACCCCTCAGGGGATGTTAGCCAGTTTCAGCCCGATCCCCACAGGCCAGGCCA